AGCATCCAAACGCCTTACTTGGTAACCCCTGGTAACACTTATCTTTGCTGACAAATAATGAACAAAAGCAGACCCACCCATCCAGAGGAGTTGACCAATCTGAACTCAGAAACTGTAAACAGGGGGGGTTTCCAGTCTGAAACTTTGATGCTTTTTCTAGGAGTTCACAGGCCAACTAAGTGGGAGGCTTTTATCGCATCATGTTTATTAAACTAAGCCTGTGGGAAAGGGCTGATGTTGTATACTTTTGCTGGCAAGTGATCACAGTAAAAAACATGTTTATGATATAAACACACAGGTAGAACTGGGAGATAAAAGGATAGAGATGTGTTTAGTCAAAAAACTCTGGAGGTTCTAGAGGAGTGTATGAATCAGGTCTTGTCTGATCATGAACAGAGGCTGCCACAGGGAATCCGTGTGCTTCTACATCCTACAAATGAAAAACCTGTTTGTTATGTGAAGGCTGACTGTGCAAAAACAATGAGGAGAGGAACAGCCTGGATAACTTGACCAACCAGAATAATGCTCCTATAGAAAAATCAGTGACACAGATCAAGTTGGGAGTTGATCTGATGAGCTTGTAACAATTAATCAAAATACTGTGTGTATTGTGGAAGGGGTCACTGGCAGTGATAAACCACAAAGATCACAGCATCTCTAGAGCTTTTTAGCCTGTTTAACTCATTGTTTGTATGGATGAGTCTTACAACTCTCACCAAACCGGTTCCCAGCAGCAGCAGACAAATTGTTTCAGCACACAGACTCTGAAAAACATATCATACTGATTGGCTGACATCAATTATAAGCAGACTAAGATAGCAACTAGCAGGTGATGAAACTAGATAAAACATGCAGTGAGCTAAAGACCAAAATATTTTTCTCAGAAGTTAGTGGACATCGACCACACCAGAGAGAAAGGGTCAGTGAGTGAAAAAGTCAGTTACTGTAAATCCAGGGTTAGGGATTTTTTAACAAAAAAATCTGTGATAACCCACTGAACCCTACTTGCTTATAACCAAATAACAGGTTTAACAAGAAACATCAGCGCCAATCAACAAACTCAAACACATTTTCAGGAGTTGGAGCCTAAGCTGAAGGGACTTACATTCATCAGGTGACTTCACATCAGTTTGTTGAGAACTAAAAAGAGCTCACTTCAAGGGAATAAGCAATGATATTAGCTAATGAATGGATCAAATTCATATATTATGTTCAGTAATATGTTTCCTGTGTGAAAGAACAATAGCCATGCTAGTGCCCCTCGAAGCTGTGCTGTCTGTGAGACCCAAGCAAACAAAACTGTTTGATGCTTAAAATAGGAAGGGGAGGAAACTTTGCAATTCTTTGATCCTTAACGGCTGAAAATATAAAATACTTTACAACTCCGATTAGGTTTAAGGCTCAGCTCTACATTATCCTCCGCTGGACTTTATTAGCTCACCTGTGCATTAGGTTATTACATTTTCACATTAATTTAAAAAGGTTGTTATTTGCTATACTCTATATAATCTGTGTGCTGGGTGTCTTCTGGTGCAGGCATAGTTTGCATTGAAAAAAAGCAAATATAATAGCAATATTTGATCTTTTCTTCTTTTACTCAGTGGGAGATACAGTCTCTGTCTGCGCCAAGGTAAATTTAACTTTCTCTCACAAACTGTTTTCTTTTATCAGTTCATTTCTCTACCTTCATATAGTTTACCCTCTGTCAGGTATGTTCCTAAGTCCAAGTTTCATATTTAGCAAAACATACATGGAAATAATCCATGGAAAACATAGTCTACTGAAAAAAGACCAACTATGCACTCCATTTCTTTAGATAATATACTGTGTTCTTTACATTTAAAGCAAACAATAGTGCAATCAATAGTGCAAACAATATTGAATGTGTTTTCCTGTTTTCTGGTGGTTCCAGTATTGTATGTATGTGACTTCAAACTTGCTTGAGCTACAGATTCTATTACATATTTATCTTTATTTATATATGTTATTATATAATTTTAGTGAATTTTAAGGTCCAGGCTTACATGAAGCATTACATACATTTTAAGCCTGAACTATTGCTGACTTATGGTATGTTCAGGTGCTAATGAGATGCTCGGAAATCTGAGACATGACAGCTGACTGTTGAACAGCACTGAAAGTATTTACAACCTAATATCAAAATCAAACACAGAGAACATAGACGGCCTTGATTAAACAAGGATAATGTAAATATGCTTTAGCAGCAAGTTGTTTTATTTTTTAATCATTATAACATATCAGTGCATCAATGTGCTAAACAAGCTTGCTAACGTGTCATCAACAACTTTAGCTTTACACTTTCATGTGTTTATGTAAAATAATACCAAGAATCTCAATCATTATATCACATTACAAGTTCCAGTAAGCGTCAGGCTGATGGGTCTTCATTACCTATCCTTACTTGCTGGGACAAAGATCATGTGGCTTCAAGCACCAGCCTTTACTCAAGCATGGCAGATGTAAACAGACAGCAGAACAAATGTACAGAAACAGTTTGGTGCTAAACAACAAGCACATTCCCAGGTGAGCCCAGAGGTCTGGAAACTCTCCCGGAGTAACTTTTATATAACTCACACAACAAAAGCCTGAGAGCAATGGTTGGTTCAGCAGTTGAGCTAAAGCCAAACTGACAGTGAAGTCAGAAATCTGACAGCACAAGTCCCAATGAGTGCTGGGAAATAACACACAGCCTGCCGACAAGACACCAACATTTAAAAACACATTTAACGGGAAATGGGTGGATAACATTTAGCTGTGCAGGATATGTGTAAACAGTGACACAACTTGCTGTCTTTCAGGCACAAACAACACACACAGCCTGAGGGTTTATTACTGTGTTACACATGATGAAGCCTCTCATCAATACAGCTTATTACCTCATGCCTGTAGTCTTTTTGAAAGGTTTTTTTTTCCTGCTTACATAATGCATTAATCATAATAAGTCAATAATATAAGTAATGTAACATAAATAGAGGCAATTTCGTCAGCCATTCTGATACTTTACTGTTTGCTGACAGTCCTTAAAGGTTGCAACCACAACATTCACATGTTATGAACTTGTTAGAAAACAGCTGCTTATTTACGCATCCAGCAGTTATGGAGAAACATTTGGAGTCATGTTTCTGGCCACCTGATGAATGTAAGTCCAATATTCCCTCCCCTTTAGCTCTGTGTTTGGTTTCTACTCTCTTGAGGGAAATAAGTGGCTCTCTAGCTGCTGAATGCTCCACTATGTTCCCCAGCTAGTCTCTAACTGTGTCTGTCTGCTGTTTGGTGCTGAGTAGGTAGTATACAGTAGAATTTTAAAGCTTCTTTACTGAAAACAGCTGCATGCTGATGCTGAAAACGAAGCTGAACCACAACACTGAAGCTAAACAGCTGAAACTCACTACAAAGCTCAAGCAGCTGCAGATTCAGGTGATAATTCTCTGCAGGTTCATCACAGGCCAGGTAACAGAGTAATTGTTCACTGTGGTATTGCTACTTTTATTTAAGTAAAAGACTTTAAAACTTTCAAAATTAAAACTGTATAAAAAAGTGCTACTGTTTAATTACAATACCTCTTAGAAGATTGTTCTCAGTAGGTTTTGAATGACGTTGAAGTACATGATGTAAATTGGACATCAATTATAAACCTGCTGCAGCACTGACATTGCTGTCTATTAACATGAAAAGACAAGACTGATGTGTACAACATCCACTCAGGTCATAATGGATATGCGTGTTTTACAGAGAGGAAGTATACTTACATGTGTGTGAGTGTTCGACTACTGTCTTCTTGTCATTTTGTGACTTTGTTCTGATGGATATACACACGCGATCAAGATATGTTTCCCAAGTGGCCATTTCCTGTCATTATAATGATTGTGGTGCCAGATGACAGTAAGTTGTGGGGGAGGCTGACTGCTACAGTCCAGAGATTTGGCCCAAAACAGAACAAAAAAAAAAAACTCCCACCAAAAATCCAAAGGTCTATCTGTGCACCCTGTGCACATTTGCTATTTAACCTTTCACACATAAAGTGACTCAGAGCAAACTAACACAGCCCTGATAAAGTAGTGACATCAGGACAGCCAGTGTAGACCTGTCACATATCAACACGCAGTGGCCTACCCTGCCAGGGAAAATGTAACAAAAGATACTGACGCTGAGGCTACAGGATATGACCTACAGTACATACAATTTAAAGTTGTGCAAAAAGACAAAAACAAAACTGTTAATTATTCCAGCTACACACCCTTTACGTTTGCTCCATCTGATGCTGCAGATTATCACAGGGGAAAGCTATTTGGGCGAGACAGAAAAATCAAAACCCTCTCCTGTGAGGGTTTCCAAACAGGCCTCAATGTTCTTTTTCTATGAAAATAAAATCAGGATATTCTCAGCACACTCTGCACACACACACACAAACACACACACATCACCTTCAAAACAACATCACTAACAGGGATCTGTCAGGTTTTCCTTGTGGTTTGGTGCTTCTAGCAACTGGTAACAAACACTGCAGGCATTGCCCCAGCCTTGATTTAATACCTCACCGCTACAAAACACACTGAGCTCATGGAGGCTGACCAAGGGGCACATTCCAGCACAGAGATAGAGAGGGTGAGAGAGTGAGAGAGTGAGAGTGAGAGAGAGAGAGAGAGAGAGAGAGAGAGAGAGAGAGAGAGAGAGAGAGAGAGACAGAGACAGAGACAGAGACAGAGGCAGAAACAGAGTGAGAGTGAGGTCTGTCTTGGATTAGAGCCAAGACAGTTTTCCTCCTCATGTGTGTTTCCTCTACAAGTCCTTCATTGTACATGCAGTACGAACCACAGTAACAGAAGTAACAGCAAACAACTGCAAATATACTTTTACATTTACAGACTGGCTCACAGTGACAAAACAAAACACACGTGGATACTTTTAGATTAGTTGCTCAGCACATACCATGGCACTAGCACTCACACACACATAGACATACACACATTGGCACACACCTGCTCCTCCACAGCCACATCCTGCAGGGCCGGGTTGTCCCGTGGGCCTCGGATCCAGCTCAGTATCTGGCCCATGTTGGCAGAAAGTGCCTCCAAGTGTGTGTGTGTGTGTGTGTATGTGTGCGTGTCTGTCAGCCTCTGCCTTGTCTGTCGGCTTTCAGCATGTTTCCAACAGGAAGGGAAGGGAATGCGAGAGAGAGAGAGAGAGAGAGAGAGAGAGGGGGAGGGCAGAGGGACCAAGAGGGGGGGCGTGGTCGGGGCAGGGGGAAGGCTCAGACGTGGAAGTCACAAGAGGCCGGGTTGTAACTCTCTGGGCTATAAAGGGAAGTGAGCTGACCATGGACTGACACCCACCTAATGAGTGGCCATATCTGAGCTGCTTCTCAGGGAAACAGATACCTCTTCCACACACACACACACACACACACACACACACACACACACAAGCATAAAAATATGCACACATGGGCATGTATGTAAAACAATTTTTTACAGTGTACCAAAGACAACCCTCAGTTTTATCTGAGACCCTATCTGAGCTACTTATCAACAAGCACACACCCAAATTTGTAATGATATACAGGCCTTGAGCACACACAGGCATAGAAACATACACACAGCTATGTACACACCTCTTGTGTGCAATCAGCAATAAAGCACAGCTTGTGCAACTATCCTGCCTGACTAATTGCCTATGAGAATAAAGGGAGGGACCATACTTTAGTTTTATATTACATCTGCATCATCTATCTGCAAAGGGAGATCCGGCTGAGCTGAAAACTTTCAATATAACCTCTTAAGCAGGTAGTTGTATTGATTAGATTGAGGTGATTTCAACATCTGGTCACCCGGTCAAAATGTTACATATCAATAAATAGCCACTGACTGAGCCAAACAAAACCGTCTGTGGCAAACGAACGGGATTTCATCTGACTTCATATCAAAACAGACTAACGACAGCAAAAAGTGTCTTTAAGAAACAGGAATGTAAGGAGTGTTTCTGCATAACACATGACAAACAGATTTGCTAAAGCTTAAGGGATGGGTGTTGGCTTTCTGAACCCTCACCTCCAAGTTCTTTTTTAAGACACAGGAACACACAGAAAATTATAAAAGGGGAAAGACTGCAATAAATTCTAATGCTCTTTCTGATGAGAAAAAGCACACAAAGACGGAGTGAAAAAATTGCATAACTGAAGTCATTACATCTGCGTGACATTTAAAGACAAGTGCAAAGTGCAATTCCAGTCATATCACTGAGGTTTTACATCACCTATGACTTGCCTGTCCCTTTGGGCAGTTCTTGGGTGGAGTGAGCAGACAATGCTGCATTTGAATGAGTCACTGTGGAAGAATCAATCTGACAGCCAATCCTTTCATTTATGAGTGTTTTAGAAGCACAACTCAGCAGAACCTGAAAATTATGTTTAAACCAGCCTCACATGATGTCAAACTTGAAGCTGTATGTCCAGGTGGAGATGTGAGCTTTCCCTTTCAACATGCCAAATATAATTCACTGGTATTACACCTGGTCACAACACAGTGGGTGTAATATGATACTGAAACTAAGCGGCAAGAAACTAAATCCCTGTTGGATTTCTTTACAGAATTGAGACATAAACACATAAATTAATATCAGTGGATGATTAAAGACTATTTAAACACACCTTATATGCTTCACTGAGAATATCAAAATTTGCTTTCTTATATCTTCATAATACAGAAGGCAATTACATTTAATTGAACAGAATTCATTAAAAAATTTAGCTGAAGTACATGTTATACATATTGTATTCCAGGGGTTTTCAACACGGGGGCAAAGATTACTGCCTGAGGTGAAACAGACAGGTACATGTTGTTCTAAAAACAACACAGAAGTTAGTTATAGTAGTTTGGCCCATTAATTTGTCCCACCTATCAACACAGTCAACAGTGGTGAAGACAGCTCATGGAGGCAATTAAGGAACTTTAAAACCTGACTGCTGCAATTTGCGTAAAAAGATGATGCTCCCTCTCCGAGTCATATCTGAACAGATAGATCTGATAAACACATTCTTAAATTCAGTATTATTTACACTTTCCGATGGTATTAATATTGGGATATGGGAACTAGTTAAATTGGTATGGTGGAGACAGGTTTGGAGTCAGCAGTTGTTTCTTTTTGTCTGAGGGACGCACAGTGTCAGACCAGTGTCCGAGTGTCCTCTGCTGTTCCATCTGATCAGCCACTGTGTTCACACAGTGATGAAATGATGTCATACAAGTGTGCTTTTCAAAAAAATCTTTTTTCCCGACATCTGTCAGCTTGAATGGGACGAAACTAAGCATGTACAGCACAGGTACATATTTACATGTTGCAGTGCATATGTATTTATGGAAATGGTCATGCTTGCACACGTGTGTACACATGTACACGCAGGCCACATAACCCACAGCATGGCACATTCCCTGTCAGACAGACACACCTTTGGCAATGTGTGCCATCTGACCAAGCCTGTAAAACTAGCTGTATGCACCATGGGAAACAACAAGTGAATGTATTGTACGATAACCTCCCAAGGAGCTATGTGAACCTCTATCTTGTGTGGCATGTGGTGGTGCTAGAGTTATTTTCACCTGTAACTTGACATTTGCACATAAAGATTCAGCAGCATAGTGACAGAAACAACTGATAGCGATGAGCTCAGTATATCTAATAACGTTGGTGTAATGAAAATGAATTAGGAAATACTAGATGTTGTAATTCATGTTTGCGTAACAGTGTATGAACATGAGTATGTATATGTAATTGGACTCTTCTGCTAAACTGGTGCTCATCTTTATTTTTAGACCCATGTCATACTACAGCCATCGCTCTCTCCACCACAGCGGTTCAGACATCTTCAAACTTTGCACATCACTTCCTCACACACTGCATCACCTACATGTTTCCAGAGAGAAACTATACAACAGTTTGCAGATACATAACTGTAAACTTTTACATCATTGTAAAAAATATATCAGAAAATAAACATTACACGTCAGGAATGAACTGTTTCTAGTGGTAAAATCCTGAAAATAATCTAAGGAAAATGGCGTCCATTTTCTAAAACAATAAAGACAAATTCCTGGCAAAGATAAATATGATTCCAAGTAACAATAAAAGATTTACTAAACAAGATAAAAGTAGAGAGTTTCTAAAATGAGTTCAAGTCGGAGTGATGACAAATTTTCCAAGTTGTTCAACGAGCACAATGGTAGGTTAATAAGAGAGCTACAGATGAGATTGCACATGATCATCAGTAACTTGAATTAAAAAGATCACAGGCAGAAGGTAAGAGTGTTAGTGTCACCTCCTTCTCCTCAGACACAGAGGGAGCACAGACACCTTTCTCAGGTTTAAAGACAAGCAGCTGACAAATCAACGTTTGCAAGCTCAAGCATGACTGCACTCAGTAGAGGGAGACAAATACAAACTTAGATTTTCCTTCCCATATATAGGCTACTGCAATCCAGCACATGCATTTTGCTCGACAACAATGCACACTCAACAACAGTGATGCAAGTATGTTACATGCTCCAATCCTGTGGCCCAATTTTGAGGCCCCGAAATTCTACAACACAATACGGTCAGTTAGAGAGTTGTCATTATCGTGTGGAAATGAGGAAATATTTCAAACATTTTCTTATGAAAACTATGTAAAGTTATAAAGTTAGTGTTTGACATATATGGTAGAACCATATCTGCTTCATCAAGTCATTCCAAGGTTGAGAAATTGATGCATTTCATTTTATTACATAATATCAAGGGAGGGATTCTGTTGAAATGCAAGTAGATAGCGGTCGTTTCCAGTCCTTTCAGTTTCATCTGTTCAAAGTGAACTGGAGAACATTAAAACTGCAACTCACTGGGCACATTTAAGCCAAAATAAACTTTTGTTCAGTCCTGCACAGATACTGCCTGTGTGCAGAAAAACAAATCAATATTTTTCTCCTCAGGTTTCAGAGTGCGGGTATGAGACAGCTGGAGGAGGTGAAGGCTGCACCTTGCCTTAGTAGGACCTTGCAGTGCAATAGGCTGAAGACTTGCTACTGCTTTGGACATCAAGTCCAATGCAGCTGGGAAGCAGCTGCCCTTTTTTAGTACATGCACAAATAGAAACAGAAACACACACTAACCAGCTTGTTATTACAAGTGCAAAGGCTTTGAAGACTGAACAAGCTTTCGGCATTCAATTCAATGGAATGTCTGTACAGGATGCAGTAATTTCAACCTATTGTGTTGGTGGATTACTCATTTAACATCAGACGAAAAATGTTTCATGTACAAGCTATATCATCCTCTTGCCTTTCTTGCTTTTAACATGATTGTAAAAGTCTAATATCCCAAAATGAATTAAATAAAAATGATGTGGTCAAATTTATGTTAGTATTTCTTTCATATTTGTACAAGCAGTAATAACTGTATGCCTCTCAAATAATACACCTACATTATAAAAAACATTTAACACTGACTGAATTAAGTTGAAATGACTTGAAACAGGATACTGCAGTGTCCCTTACATCTGATCCTCACCTTGAGGACTAATTCAAAGCTGAGTGTGCATGTTGAAGTTTTTCTCAGTTCAAACACTCACACGCCCTCATACATAAATACTGTGTGTGACAGAATATGGGCGAAGCCCTTATAGTAATTTATTTCAAAAAAGATTCAGCTATCTGCAGCTTATGCCAAGTTTTAAGACCATTCAGTATAGCTCACACATTCAGACTAGTTGTGCTGGTTCCTGCAATAAAAGCAGAGCTAAAGCGTCTCTACAGCTGCCAAGATTGACTTAAGAGTTGACAAAGTGTATCGCCAGAGGATCCAACTGAAGAGAGGGGAGGTGAAAAGTAACAAATGATGTACTCACAAGACTCATCCAGTATGCTGCATACGCCATGAGGGAACAGGAGCAGAGAACACTGGCCTGAAATCAAAAGTCCACAGTGCACTGCTACTCTCTCCTGTCCTCACCACAAGATCTTTGCTCTCATGCCTCCCCAAACACTGATGTGCCACTCCCCTCACACTTCAGTAATTATCACACAAAGATCTCTGTGCTGTAGTCTTACAGAAAAAAAATCACCCTTTTCCAGTGGAATCACTGGCTCTTCCGCTTTAAAACTGTAGTA